CGGAGCGTGGCGTATATTCGACCACCTCTACACCTGTCTCTTATACACATCTAGATGTGTATAAGAGACAGGCCTAGAAGAAACGCCTTCTATTATCAAAAATGTGTTTTTCTTCCAGTGAGTGTTAGTAAAGTATTCATCTGAGATGACCGCAAATGGTTGTATTCTGGCGTCTACTTTTTGCATATTCTGAGCTAATTAGATATGAAAGGGGGGAAAAAATGAGAAGAAAAACTTCCATACATCGGCCAGATGTGTATAATGGCGCGCCCTTACTATTTGGCCGCGCAACGCGCGCGCGTTTCCATCGATGTGTATAAGAGACAGCATTACAGCTGCATGGCGCGCCCTTACTATTTGGCCGCGCAACGCGCGCGCGTTTCCATCATCATCGCATTTCACAATGAAGCACGTTCGGCGCTCTTGCGTACCGTAATGACGCTATATCAGCGCACGCCACGGCGCTATCTGCACGAGCTGATACTGGTCGATGACTGCAGCGTGGATGGTGCGTATACGCCATGGCGGCGCATGCAAATGAGCGCGCACGCGGCGCTGGTGTTGCGCCATTTTTGATTGAAATCACGCGCGCACATTTGCATGCTTACACTTGGAGATGTGTATAAGAGACAGGCGCTACACAGCCTAAACGCTATGGGGCGTCGAATCGAAGGAGAATCGAAGTCAGTTGCTGAATTGCGATAATATTGGCAGGTGATCGGCGCAGCGTCGAGCGGCTGACGAGCGTTTGCTTTTGCACAGCAAATTTTATTAAAAATAATTCAGCGCAGAGTGCACGCGCGTGGTGTTATTTGTTGTTGGGGGGCGGGTGAAAATGTGTGCGTGATGAAGTTGCAGAAGMGATGCTGGCATTGTCGACTACTGCTGCTACCCATAGCGCTGCTGCTGCTCACTTGCATCTTCACCGGCATACAACTGATCGAGTATGAGTATGCGGAGCTGCAAGTTGAGCGCTACGAACAGGCCAAAGTGAATATTAGATAAGAGGAAAATGTGCAAAAATAAAAAAAATTACGAAATTAATGATGAGTA